CCATGTGGCCTCTTCCAACACTATTATACTATGATTATAGGAGAAGGTGGCAACACAATTGAGGGTGGAGAAGAGGAAGTATAACAAAAGAACCATAAAAGCCATGCATGAGCTAGGTGTAGCCTCACCCTTTTCTTTCATTCCTCCTACAACCTCGTTTGTTTCTACTATTTTGACATTATCTCCTTCAAAAGGTCAGAATAATCCCCCTTTACATAGCTCATAGTAGCCTTGTCCCCCGTCCCCCCGTTTTACCGTAATGGTTCAGCCTTCCAAGCTCTGTAAAAGAGTGATTTGGGATAGACCAAGTCTTCACCAGGGGGTACAGAGGAAAAGAAAGTAATGGACTCGCCCAATAGAGTCCTCCCCCTCCTTGCTGTAATGGTTCAGACTGCCAGCTTCGGTACAAAAGGGGGACGTGGGACATACCAAGTCTTCAACCGGGGGGGGGGGATTAAGGGTAATGGACTCACCCAGGAGGGTTCCAGGAGAGGCTGCGATGGGTCGTCGGCCACATCCCGGAGGCGGCGGATCCTGGGAGGGTCCCTGTCCCGATAAACCCGGTACAGCCTTGGCCCCAAGATGCAGCTCAATAACTTCGCCATCTTGGGACGGACCCGAAGCCGGGCAGCGGGGAAGGGAGGAGGGAGCGAGGGCAGGGGGGAGCCGCACTTCCGTGTTTGCTACGGGGAGGGGAAAGGGACAAAAAGGTGCCTTGGTTTTCCAGAACGCTAGCCTAGCCTCTGGTTTGTGATGCAACAGCAGGCGGGAAATACAAAAGACAGTCCAAGTCTTCCTACTCTCTGAGTGCATCTGTATAATTATAATGCTGTAATTAAGACATAATATATTATATATACTACAAGTTAATATATAGTACAATATATTATATAATAGTATAATATACAGGTAATGTATTATATATTGTAATATACTAATATAGTAGGATATAATAATATAATAATTGTATATTATGTATTACATGTAATATTACTAATAATATTTCAGTATAGTCTAATGGTACAATATAGTATTATTTATTTATTTACCTTACTTATATACCGCTGTTCTCAGCCCGAAGGCGACTCACAGCGGTTCACAACAAATACGAACAGCAAAAATTCAGAGCTACAGTATAGAAACAGTTAACAACCTAACACATTACACAATTAATAAACAGTTACTACAATACCCATTCACTGTCGTCTCGTCATCAAAAACATGTTCCAGATTCGTCATCCATTGTTCCATTCCAGTGTTCATTAACCAATCATTGCACTAATTATTCGAACGCCTGCTCAAACAGCCAGGTCTTCACCTTTTTGCGGAATACCATTAGAGATGGTGCTAGTCTAATGTCCGTAGGAAGGGCGTTCCACAGCCGAGGAGCCACCACCGAGAAGGCCCTATCTCTCGTCCCCGCCAGCCGAGCTTGAGAAGCAGGCGGGATCGAGAGCAGGGTCTCCCCGGAAGATCTCAAACTCCTGGTGGGTTCATAGGCAGAGATGCGGTCAGATAGGTAGCTTGGGCCGGAACCGTTTAAGGCTTTATAGGCCAACGCCAGCACCTTGAATTGAGCCCGGTAGCAGATCGGTAGCCAGTGGAGTTGGCGCAACAGGGGGGTTGTATGCTCCCTGCGCTCCGCTCCTGTTAGAATCATGGCTGCCGAGCGTTGGACTACTTGGAGCTCCTGAGCCGTCTTCAAAGGCAACCCCACGTAGAGAGCGTTGCAGTAGTCTAAACGGGATGTAACCAGAGCGTGGACCACCGTGGCCAAGTCAGACTTCCCAAGGTACGGGCTCTTTGCTTTGTATTATTATTAGTATTTATATTTGCTTTGCTAATGATGTAATATATTGCATATAAATATAATGTCGATTATAATACAATATAATACTAATAATAATACAATATATTATATAATAGTATAATATACAGGTAATGTATTATATATTGTAGTATACTAATATAGTAGGATATAATAATATAACAATCGGATATTATGTATTACATGTAATATTACTAATAATATTGCAGTATAGTTGTATGGTACAATATAGTAATAAATAATACTGATATTGTGCTTTGCTAATGATGTAATATATTGTATATAAATATATTGATAATAATATATAATACAATATAAATACTACTACTAATACAATATAATAATGTTATTGTAATATAGTAATGCTAATATATTGAATATAATTACTACTGATAATATATAATCATCATCATCATCATCATCATCTTTATTTATACCCCGCCACCATCTCCCCAAAGGGGACTCGGGGCGGCTAACATGAGGCCAAGCCCAGAATTACAGTACAACAAAATAAAATAAAATACAAACAGCAAATAATAACATCAAAATAAAATACATAAAATAACAGAAAATGCAATAAACTGATGCAAAATAACGTGATGAAGAAATAAAAATAAAAATAATATATAATAAACATTGACAAAATCATGATCTATCAACTGCAAAAGGCCACCTTACTTGGATCTATGCACATCATTCGAAAATACACTACACAGTCCACACCACACAGTCCTGCGGAGGTTGAGAAGACCGGTATATAAAAGTTCTAAATAAATAAATAAATAAATAGATGCTTGGGAAGTATTTGACTTGTGATTTTGTGATACGAAATCCGGCATATAAATCTTGTTTGCTGTGACACTGTGTTTTTGTGTCAATAAAATAATATATAATAAAATATATTGTCTTATTATTGTATATTTGTATATATTAAGTTGTAATGGTTTTGATTGTGCGCCGCTTTGAGTCTCCGTAAGGAGAGATAAAGCATGAAATTAATTAATTAATACATAAATAGTGTAGAATTAATGCAGTCTGACACCACTTTTAACAGCCATGGCTCAATGCTATGGGGTAGATTTCCTATGAAGCAAATGAAGTGGTTATCCTTTGTGATATTATACGTTTTTCTCAGAGGGAGGCGATGATTTACAATATCATAAAGCTGCTGACAGGTCTATGAAGACAACTCCTGTGATCTGCTGCCTTTCAAAACCATCTTCTATGTGCTGAGTCAGGTTCAACACTTGTGATGTGAAGCTTTTCCCTTTCCTGAAACCAGCTTGCTGTGGAATCATAAAAAGGTATATTTTTCCATAATTCTATGCATATATGTCTCTCCAGAACCTTATAAAGAAGACACAACAAGGAGATTGGTATATAACTTTTTGGATCATTATGGTTTTAGCCTGGTTTCAAAATGGCCTCCAGATTTGGGATCTGATAGGATGCAATGCAGTTGTTCATCAGCTTCAGCAGCCAGCATCTTGCTTTTGGGCCAAAGTTCTTAATTTGTTCCATCCACAGATCGTCCAAGCCAGCTGCTTTGCCATTTTACATTTGTTGAGAGCCATTTCCACTTCAGTGGATGTGAAAGGTTCATAAAGGTTGTTGTTCTCATTATCTGGTTGTTTAACTATTGGAAGAAAGAAGGATGGTCTGCCTCAGAAGAGCATGCTTGCTACATTTACACAAATAGAAGATGCACATAGAAGATGGTTTGAAAAGCAGCAGATTACAGGAGTTGTCTTCATAAACCTGACAGCAGCTTATGATACTGTAAATCATTGCCTTTTCCTGAGAAAAATTATAATATTCACAAGGACTACCACCTCACCTGCTCCATAGGAAATCTGTGTTGTTGAGTTCCAAGATCAGGGAAGCAGGTGATAAAAACAGAAGATGGCCTGCCTCGGAGAGCGTGCTTGCTTCATCAGTGTTTAGCATTTACACAAATGACTAGCCACTGGCAGAAGGGACAGAGAATTTCATCTATGCTGACAATCGTGTCATCACCGCTCAAGCAGAGAGCTTTGAAATGGTTTAACAGAAGCTCTCTGAAGCTTTAGGTGTTCTTACTGCCTATTACAGGGAAAACCAGCTGATTCCTAATCCATCTAAAAAGCAGAGGTGTGCTTTTCATTTTAAGAACAGACAAGCATCTTGAGCTCTGAGCCCTGGGAACGAATCCCATTACCCAGGAAGGAATCCCAATGGAGCATTGCAGCACACCAAAATACCTGGGAGTGACCCTGGACCATGCTCTGACTTACAAGGAGCACTGCTTGACTATCAAGCAAAAAGTGGGTGCTAGAAATAATATACAAAAGCTGACTGGCACAACCTGAGGATCACAACCAGATACAGTGAAGACATCTGCCCTTGTGCTTTGTTACACTGCTGCTGAATATGCATGCCCAAACTATGTTGAATTGGTTGAGACTCAATTTATTATTCATTGAAAAACTCTAGCAAAATGTGCTGCAGAATGTTCCCATAAACAAAGTTTTTGCAGAGTAATAAACTTTTCCCATGATTTTATGATAGAAACAATTAGGAAAGGACATTTATAACCCAAGAACAAAAATCGTGTTACCTAGTATAAGAGAATATAATACAATGTGTGGCGGAGTTTGATATCCTACATACAAGTGCAATATGCTCCTACAGGAAGAAGCTGGGAAATGCTCAAGACATCATTAAAACTAACTCATATACCATAATTTCCCTTCCCTTTCATTATATCAATCCATGTTTCTTTTGATAAGCCGCTCAAACTAGGCTCCTCGGGAAGTGTGCCATGCCGATAGGGCTTGGGGTAACTATTCCTGGTCTTCCTTTTGTGCCTCAGCATTGTATTTTGATAACAAAGCAAATAAAGTCTTGCAGTTGAAGGAAGACAGCAGAAGTGCCTGGCTGGATCACGGCAAAGAGATGTCTCCACCTTTATTTTGTTTCCAGTGGTGAAAATCTAAAGGAGTTTCCTCTAAAGATGAGTAAAGGTGTTTCTCAAAGTTCTCCAGGCGTTGCTGTTTCGGTTCTGATTGCTGTTGTCTTCTCTTGCAAAGTCTGTGTCGGAGAAAGTAAGAGCTTATCTCTTTCCTTTGGATTTTATTAGCCTCAAAGTTTGACGAAGATGTTGATGAGAACAAGTATTTGTACTAGGCATGGGTTAACTTGGGCTCTTCAGATGTTTTGGATTTCGACTTCCACAATACCTAACAGCCTACTGGCTGTCAGGAATTGTGGAAGTTGAAGTCCAAAACACCTGGAGGGCTCAAGTTGGCCCATGCCCGCTCTAGGTCCTCCAGCTTGACCCGAGGAAGTTGACCCTAGGGCCTAAAGTCATGCTAGAGGACATATAGATTGCTAGAGAGAACATTTTAACCAAATCCATGAATGATCAAATCTGCCAAAACTTCAAATGTGGAGGGACAACTATAGATATGCAGAAAAAGTCTGCATTTGCTCTTGTTTGCTTTTAAAGTTCTATACTCCATGGATTTGCTCAGCTAAACATTGTAGTGGTGGAAGCATGCTTAGAAGAGGGATGTTTTAACCCTGAAAAGTGATGCTAGGAACTTCTTGTCCTCCCTAACTACCTTACTTACCACATTAGATATCCACAGTCTTCTTCAGGTATATTGGACTACAATTCCTATTAGTTGTAACCCTTCTACTGGTCTTATCAGTTGTTAGTATCTCACACAAAGAGTGGAGTGCAACTCTTGGAATCTTTCAGCCGGTGGAAACGTTGTGGGGAGTTATGTTTTGAAATTGATTATATAGCAATGTCGAGTAATATAATCCAGTTCAAGGCAGATAACTTGGATTTTATCTGGCAGTGTAAATTGGGCCAAAGAAGGAATTGTCCCATCTGTTCATCTCATGCCTTCTAATGGGAATCATATGGCCCTCCAGATGTTGGACTATAGGTCCTAGCAGCCAGCATGATGAGGACTTCTGGGAGTTACTGTACAACAATCCTTAGAGCAGGCATGGGCAAACTTCAGTCTTCTAGGTGTTTTGGACTTCAGCTCCCATAATTCCTAACAGCCAAAACACCTGGGGGGGGGGGCGAAGTTTGCTCATGCCTGCCTTAAGCATTGCTGTTTAAACTTTGGGTCCAGTCCACAAATGGGATCTCCTAAGCTCAGTGTTAGGTTCATGAAAAAATTGGTAACAAGAAAAGTTTCTGAATGTCACCATATTTACACAAATCTGTGAGCAACAACATGTAGTGTTTTATAGTGGACTCTTAAGAAAATGCTTCTGCTGTACTTCATAAAACGGAAAATCAGACAGTTTAGCAAGCCATGCAAATACTGGCTTATTTTCTGTAAATGTTTGGTTTTACATCTATTTTAAATACCTGTATTTTTGAGGTCATGTAAAATTGTTGGGCGGAAAGGGATCATGAGTGGAAAAGGTTGAAAAAGCCCTGCTTTAGAGAGCCAACTAATCTGATTTCTGATGTTGTAGCACTTAATTCAGCCTTTTCTCCAAAAAGCCATCTACGCAGTGAAAGGCTCATCACCGGAGCTTCCATGTCCATGCACGTCTTGCTCTGGAGATCTCACCAGGGCAGTGTCCTGGTACTTTGACCATCAAGGCCATACAACACCTCTCTTTCAAAAACTGGGGAATAGCCATGTGATAAAGCGTCTCCCGTTCTCCTGGGACCGTCTTGAAGTGCTTCAGAATTATGCCCTTCACTTTCGCAACCTCACAGATAACGATACTGGGCGATACTGGTGTGAATTGGGCCATTACTATGACCTTGTGGTTGTCACTGGTAAGTGAAATAACCTTGGAAAGATACTGAAAAATGGTTTGGAGCTGGGGGTGGAACTACACTGTAGAATTAATGCAGTTTGATACCACTTGACCTGTTATGGCTTAATGCTATAGAACTATGGGAGTTGTAGGTTCACTAGCTTTTTAGACTTTTCTGCCAAAGAGAGGTGATGCCACACCCAAATGTGGTTTCAGAAAGATTCTTTTGTGTGTATGTTTTGCCTTCAAGCCATCAGCTGGCGGGTTTTTATAAGGCAAGGAGGACTTACAGGTGATTTTGCCAGTGAAATTACAACCTACAGCAGCAGGTATTCAGTGGTGATCTGCCATCCAGGCACTTACTACGACTGGTCCTGTTTATGTTCCAAGATTAGACAGGCTCTGATGTATTTAGGATATTTAGGTCCTAAAGGTTTCCTCTTGAAATTAAGTCTTGTCGTGTCCGACTCTGGCAGGTGGTTCTCATCTCCATTTCTAAGCCAAAGAGTCAGCATTGTCCATAGACATCTCAAAGGTCATGTGGCCAGCATGACTGCACGAAGCACCGTTACCTTCCTACCGGAGTGGTACCTATTGATCTTCTCACATTTGCATGTTTTTGAACTGCTAGGTTGACAGAAGCTTGGGCTAACAGCAGGAGCTCACCCTGTTCCCTGGATTCGAACCACCAACCTTCTGGTCAGCAAGTTCAGCAGCTCAGCGATTTAACACACTGCGTCACCAGGGCATAATAATACTTTATTTGTATTCTGAGTGCCCATCTGGGAGTGTGTTCCTGCATGGAAGGGAGTTGGATTGGATGGCCCTTGGGGTCTCCTCTGACTCCTAGGTTGGCAAAAGCTGGGTCTAACAGTGGGAGCTCACCCTGCTCCCTGGATCCAAACCGCTGACCTTTCGATCAGCAATTCAGCAGCTCAGTGGTTTAACCCGCTGCACCACCAACCAGCTGTTTTTGTTGTGTGTGCCTTCAAGTCGTTTCTGACCTCTGACTACTCTAAGGGCCCTTCCACACAGCCATATAACCCAGAATATCAAGGCAGATAATCCATAATATCTGCTTTGAACTGGGTTATCTGGGTCCACACTGCCATATAATTCAGTTCAGTGCAGATTTTATACAGCTTTGTGGAAGGGGCCTCAGATGCACCTATAATGGATTTTTCTGCAAGTAAGAATCACTCAGCGGGTTTCCTTAGCTCAATGGGGAATTGAAACTTCATTTCTAGAATTATATACCAACACACAATCCACTACAGCGGTTGGACCTGGAATATTGTGTCCAATTTTGGGCACCACAATTGAAGAGAGATATTGACAAGCTGGAATGTGTCCAGAGGTGGGCGACTAAAATGATCAAGGGTCTGGAGAACAAGCCCTATGAGGAGTGGCTTAAAGAGCTGGGCATGTTTAGCCTGAAGAAGAGAAGGCTGAGAGGAGACATGATAGTCATGATAGATGAAGTCCAAGGGAGGAGGGAGCAAAGCTTGTTTTCTGCTACCCTGGAGACTAGGACACGGAACAATGGCTTCAAACTACAGAAAGGAGATTCCATCTGAACATGAGGAAGAACTTCTTGACTGTGAGAGCTGTTCAGCAGTGGAACTCTCTGCCCGGAGTGTGGTGGAGGCTCCTTCTTTGGAAGCTTTTAAACAGAGGCTGGATGGCCATCTGTCAGGGGTGCTTTGAATGCAATTTTCCTGCTTCTTGGCAGGGGGTTGACTGGATGGCCTACAAAGTCTCTTCCAACTCTAGGATTCTATGATTCTACACTATGTTGGTGATGGCGGAGGGCCCCCGCCAACGATTGGCCTGCACTGCAGCGGAGAGTTCCGCAGTTCCTGGTTGTAACAATTGGAAGAAACTGATGAAATGTGCCCCAGCAGGCAGCTCAATAATAAGACTGCACTCAGTCTTTCTTTGCTTTCCCTTCTCCCTACATTGTAACATTCCCCCAATAAAGCACTTGAAACTTGCAACATTTAATCTTTCCGCTTGACACTTTTGTATCTTTCATGCCTCAGACTAATCCAACATTGTTGTTGTTGTTGTTCATTCGTTCAGTCGTCTCCGACTCTTCGTGACCTCATGGACCAGCTCACGCCAGAGCTCCCTGTCGGCCGTTACCACCCCCAGCTCCCTCAAGGTCAACATTAAAATAACCCTTTTTCCAGGCTCCGGAGAGCCGTGAGCCTGCGGGGAGGTGCCTCCAGGCACCCCCCGGACCAAGGATCTGTGTTCGCCCAATTCGCGGATACTGAAACCGCCATTTTGGACCCCAGTAACCACTAAAACAGTAATATGGCGGATCAGCGCCGTTCTAATTTTGTATTTTTCTGCTATTAATTCTAAGACTAACTGCTATCTCGCTTTCCCCATTTTGGGCTCCTGCGCTCGGGGAATAATCGTTTTGTTTAAAGTATTATTATTAGACAGCAAACAGCTGATTGCCAAAACTCTGCTGGCTCGGTGAAAGCAGCCTGTTATTCCCTTGCTACCACTCGTTCCTGCTCGTGCCCTGCCATCAGGGGCTTGCTGTGGGCACCCACAGGAGGACCCGGAGAAGCGGCCAGGCCGGCCCCCGGCCCCAGCGCGGAAGATCTAGTTTGCCAAGGGCCGGACAATGGATTCTGTTGCTTCCTGACCCAGCGCACATAACTGGGTTCCTGTTTCCTCTTTGTGAACTCTCTGACTTATGCACTGGACTATGGACTCTGCTACTACCCAACCCAGCGCCCATCACTGGACTTCTGCCTTTTCTTATTGACTCTCTGCATCATGAACTTCTTCCACATCCCTGGCCATGAACTTCCTTCTGGTGCTTGCCTTGAGAAGCAAGCAGCCTCCGTTTTCACGCACCTTTGCCAAAGGACTATGAGATCTCCAGTTTGTGTTATCATAAAGATCCAATATTGTAATAAACTTTGCTGGGGATGGGGATGGGAATTTGGTCATGAAATATATGAAATGTATGGGATGTATATAATGAAATATCATATGGAAGGTACCCTGATTCCCCTTCCCGCTTTTCCCTCTGACCCTTGCCCCAAAAAGAATGTGACCTGGGGATTACTGTAGAGAGGAACTCCTTTGTCCTCCCAAAACTGTTCATGTTTGCATTTGCATGGTTCGTGATGTTGACTTCCTCCAGATCCTGGCTTTCAGAGCAGACAGTTAGGAGAAGGGGAGTCAACCGAAACTCAGGAAGAAAAGACTGAATCATTTTTAGGTATTTTGTTGATCCCCCTTTTTGAGGTCCAAATGCCACCGAAAGCTTCTTTTCATACTTCCTCCCAAATCCCATCACAGACCAGGAAGCCCATTGTTCTCCTATCTAACTCCCCGCCACGTAAGAACAAAGACACACATTCCAGCTGGCAGATGCCCCAAAGGCTGTCATTTCCTCAGTCTTTGTCAGGCTTCGTCCCGCCTCCTGGCTGCCGATTGGTCCATCTTCCAAAGCGCTAGGAAGGCGCTGATTGGCCCCCTAGAGGCAGCGGAGCCCGCTGATTGGTCTGGAGGCGGGGCGTGCCGCCAAGCCTCCTCCCAGCTGTTCCGCAGCCAGCCAATCAGAGCGAAGCCGGCCGGCAGAGGGCGGGCGGGATTTTTGAAACTGTTTTCCTTTGTCTGTGTACTATAAAAATGCTTGGAAATTCTGTAAAATTATGCTTGCAGTGGAATGATTCCTGCAATGCATCTGATCTCAGCTGAATCACAATAAACCTCGGTTGCTGAAAAACTTCTTCCACTTGGATGAGGCATTATTATTTGTAATATTTTTACTCTTTGGATTGGCTCTCGCTGGCCTCACCAAGGGACCCAGAGCCCTTTAGGCGCGGTCCTCGGGCCTCTCTCTCAAGGAGACCCCACTAAAAGCAGCTCGATATCATTGGGATCTTTTTACCCAGCCCCGATGGGAGCTCCAGGCTATATCACATTCAAGTGCTAACCATGATTGACTTTGCTTAGCTTTTAAGACTGAAGCTTGGATATATTGGGGATGACAGAGCAGTGATGGAGACATGCAGGCAGATAAATAATTTCTTGAACCAAAATAGGAAAACAGCCCAATCTGCTGTTGGGTAGGAGATGGTGAGAAGGGTATGAGTCAATCAGCTACCAACTTCAAGGGACTTTCTGCTAGCCTCCCTTTTTGTGGTTCATTATCTTTAAAACAGGTTTTAACTTGACAGCCTTCTAACAAAGGATGCCTTCAAACAGAAGACTGATAAAAAGCCTTTTTAAAAAGAGGATCTGTATTATCATTGGGGTTTTTGTTTTGTTTTGTTTTGTTCTGCGTTGCTTTTCTGCTAAAGTGACTGACAGCAGTTAAAATTCAGGCGTTGCCAGAAACCACACACTGATAGTCTGAGTGGATTAATATTCATAATTCATATTAACAGAATACACCAAGCTATTTCTGTGAATGTAAAAAAAGTTCTATGTACTCTGAATGCTTTTAGCATGGCACAAGGTGGGGATGGGAATCATACGGACTGTTTCAGTGTATCCACTAAAAGGTAATTCAAAGGGTTGGGGAGCTCTTAGTTTGGAAATAGATGCTCTAAAGCTGCTTTCTAGCTGTAGGTGTGGTGGTGGATATTATGCACAACCCATATTGCATGCCTTCTCTTACTAAAAATGGGGGTAGGGAGGCGGGGAAGCCTCCCAAACTTTTAAGATAAAGGAGGAGATGAGGCTATGAATTGAAATCAATATATCAAACATCTGCTAGTTTTAGAAGTCAATATATCAAAGGCAGGATTATTTAATAAAGTGAAATGGGGACAAAATGCCTATCTGACAATTTGTACATAGCAGATTCAGGTTAATTGCTCAAAGCTAGTGCTTTAATTTCCAACACTAAGGTAAAGGTAAAGGTTTTCCCCTGACATTAAGTCCAGACATAGAATCATAGAGTTGGAAGAGACCTCATGGGCCATCCAGTCCAACCCCCTGCCAAGAAGCAGGAAAATTGCATTCAAAGCACCCCTGACAGATGGCCATCCAGCCTCTGTTTAAAAGCCTCCAAAGAAGGAGCCTCCACCACACTCCGGAGCAGAGAGTTCCACTGCTGAACAGCTCTCACAGTCAGGAAGTTCTTCCTAATGTTCAGATGGAATCTCCTTTCTTGTTTGGCTGTTGGTGCTCATCTCCATTTCTAAGCTGAAGAGACGAACGTTGTCCGTAAACACCTCCAAGGTAATGTGGCTGTAATGACGGCATGGGACTCCATTACCTTCCCGCCAGAGCGGTACCTATTGATCTACTCACATTTGCATGTTTTCGAGCTGCTAGGTTGGCAGAAGCTGGAGCTAATAGCGGGAGCTCATCTCGCTCCCCGGATTCGAACCGGCAACCTCTTGGTCAGCAAATTCAGCAGCTCAGCTGTTTAACCCACTACACCATTGGGGGTTCCAACACTGAGATTATAGCTGCTGAAATCTTAAGAAACAGTGCAGTTACACAGTGTAGAAGCAAGTTGAGACAGATCTTCCTTTAATCCAGCTGCCACTGTTCCTTAAGATTTCAGCAGCTATAACACTGAGATTATAGCTGCTGAAATCTTAAGAAATAGTGTTCAGGGAATTGTGCTGGCAGCTGGATTAAAGGAAGATCTGTCTCAACTTAGAATCATAAAATCATAGAATCAAAGAGTTGGAAGAGACCTCATGGGCCATCCAGTCCAACCCCCTGCCAAGAAGCAGGAATATTGCATTCAAATCACCCCTGACAGATGGCCATCCAGCCTCTGTTTAAAAGCTTCCAAAGAAGGAGCCTCCACCACACAGAGAGTTCCACTGCTGAACGGCTCTCACAGTCAGGAAGTTCTTCCTCATGTTCAGATGGAATCTCCTCTCTTGTAGTTTGAAGCCATTGTTCCGCATCCTAGTCTCCAAGGAAGCAGAAAACAAGCTTGCTCCCTCCTCCCTGTGGCTTCCTCTCACATATTTATACATGGCTATCATATCTCCTCTCAGCCTTCTCTTCTTCAGGCTAAACATGCCTAGCTCCTTAAGCCGCTCCTCATAGGGCTTGTTCTCCAGACCCTTGATCATTTTAGTCGCCCTCCTCTGGACACATTCCAGCTTGAATTGTCACTGTGGAATTAATGCAGTTTCGCACCACTTTAACTGTTGTGGAATTCTCCGAGGGCCCTTCCAGACTGGCCCTATATCCCAGGATCTGATCCCAGGTTTTCTGTCTTAAAACAGGATTATATGAGTCCCCACTGCCAGATAATCTGGGATAAACAGAAAACCTGGCATCAGATCTGGAAAGACCCTAAACTCTAAAGTCTTCTCTGCCAAAGAGTGCTGGTGCTTCAACAAATTATAAATCCCAGGATTCCATAACATTAAACCGTCACAATTAAAGCAATGTCAAACTGCATTAATTGCTCAGTGTGTATGTGTGCTTGATGTAAACAATCTGCAGTTGATAAGAATTGCGGAAGTTGCCTTTTGGCTGCTAATGTCCTTTTCTGGACGAAATAGCTCCAAAAATGTCCTGGTGCCAAAAACTTGCTAGGTTAGATAGCAATTTCCTGGTGCCAGAATGTGGTGGGTCATCAGGGCTGGCTCGCTTTCAATCTTACTCTCGTTCTCTCTTTCCAGGCAGAAAGCTAATTTTGGAAAGCAGTGAAGCCAATACGACATGCTATGTCTTGAGTTGCTCCATCTCAGGCAAGAAGCTACTCAGGGATGTGGGCACTTGGTGGGAAGGTGGAGAACAAATCCAGCAGGAAGACAAAGAGGAGAGACACAGCATCTTCAGAGGGCAAAGGGCTACACAACTCCACATTTGCTTTAAACCAGAGACCAAGGAGAGGAAAGTGAAATGCCAGTTTTCTCCAAAGACAGAGATCATCTTCACTTTGACTGAGAATGAACAGGCTAGCAGGTTGCTGCCTATTTCACAGGGTAAGGCCTTTCTCAGACATCTGGGCTGGGAAATATGCTGTGTTTTTCTTTTGAGCAGAGCATGGGAAATTTGCTCTTTTTTTGAGCCGGAATTCTCTTGGCCACTAACTGATCCTGGACATGTATTGGGAAACATGCCTTCATGTCACAAGGCAGTTGGCCTGTGGGTAAAATTCGGCTTCAGAGCAACTTTAATGAGGTACGCAATATAGCAGAGTACACAGTCTTCCATCCGCTTCAAAGCCTTGAAGCGGCACGTTTATTTAGTTACTTTCTAACAGCTACAGAAAATAACAAACAGAACTATTTACAGGAGCAATCATACATTCAGCTTGCTCGATCCTTGGCATGGCTGAAAGAAAAAAGCCCAGCAGTTCTTTTCTCCAATTTCACATCATTGGAATGCATGAGGTATCCCGGAACTGTTCACAGTTCACGCTCTAGGAAATAAATCACTACATTTTTAACCCTTGCATAGCATGCCATCCAGGAGGGAGGGAGTGCTCCTTACTTTTACCTCTATTTGTGCCAGGTCTTCCTTATCTCCCCTCTCCTGGAATGTTCATCTCCCTCATGCCTTGGACACAGATACTTCAGCTTCCCTTTGTCCTGTCAGCTTGGCTTTCTAATACAGAGAGAACCTTATTTTTATTACATTTCAGTGTTTCTAACGTACATACAATATATGTATAAATATCTATATTTCCAATATCTCCCCATCAAGTTAGCTTTTTGACTCTTCTGGTATGGTTTCCTTTATCCCAAGATACTAGCAGTCTGCCCACGGAAGCACAATGGGTTAAACCCTTGTGCCAGCAGGACTGCTGACCAAAAGGTTGGTGGTTCGAATCCGAGAAGCAGAATGAGCTCCTTCTGTCAGCTGCAGCTTCTCATGTGGGGGCATGAGAGAAGCCTCACACAGTGTGGTAAAATATCTGGGTGTCCCCTGGGCAACGTCCTTGCAGACGGTCAATTCTCTCACACCAGAAGCAACTTACAGTTTCTCAACTCACTCCTGACACAATCAAAAAAAGCAGTCTGAAAAGCTACCAGCCACAAGGAAACATCAACTGCCACCACCATTGCCCTCTATCTGTCTTATCATCTCTCTAATTCTGCTATAATAACACTCTAAGACCTGTGTGTGTTGTTGTGCACTTTCAAGTTATTTCTGACGTATGGCAAACCTCATGTGCCTATATAACTCATGTTGGTTTAGGTGGTGGTTACCTTCAGATTCTCTTCTTTGCTGAAAATATCTCACATAAAGACAGATTAGACTGAGAGGAAGAATGTGTGAAAATTGAACGAAGGGACATGAACAATTAAGGATATGCAGATGGCACCATATTACTAGCAGAAAATAGCAAAGGCTTGGAATATTGCTGGAGACAGGGACGAAAGTACAAAGATGGGCTTAACAGTTGAGAAAACCAAAATAAGGACAACAGATGCCTTGCATAACTTTAGAATAGATGATGAAGAAATTCAAAATATTCAAGGTTTTCCCTACTTTGGCTCAGTCATTAATGAAAATGGAGACTGCAATCAAAAAATCAGATGAAGACGAGGAGTGGGGAGGAATGAGACAAGATTCTGAAATGTCAACAGATATCTCAGAAATACTAATGTTTTCGGATTGATCATATTTTTGTATGGGTTCTGTTCATTGACCAAAATAAAGAAATATATCTCTGTATGATTGTGAAAGTTGGGCAGTAGATAGCAGATAGAAAGAAAAGCAACTCATTTGAAATGTGATTCTGGAAAAGAGTTCCATGGATATTGCAGACTATTAAAAAGACAAAGTGGTCCTAGAGCCTGAACTTTCTTTAGAAAACAAAATGACTAAACCATATCTTAAAAAGACAAGAATCACGAGAAAAGACAACAATGCTTGGTAAAGTAGAAAGCTGTAGGAGAAGATTGGCTGCATTGCAAATGGATGGATTCAATCAAAGAAACCACAGTCTTGAGTCTGCAAAGCCTGACTGATTATAGGATGACTTGGAAGTCTCTCACAGTCAAAGTTGACAACATGTGAGAACACTAACAACAAACTTTGAGTTCAGGGCACCACACTTGTTCTTCAGTGGGCAAACTACCTTAATCCTGGCCAGTTTAGGAATTGCTATCCACTTACTCAGCCACTTGATTGCATGGCTCCTCCGACTGAAATTGCAACAGAGCAAGTATGGGCACAGCTCACCATATCTTCCAGAGTGCCAAGGGCTTCTGAAATTTACAGAGCACATTTATGTTCTGATATACCTCACATTTTGTCCTAGTTGGCATAAAGTAAAAATTACAAATATAGTCATTTATTATAATTACACTGGTTAACTCCACTTTGACAATATCTAACATCTCACCCATGGCCTGTATTGTTTATATATTTATTTATTTACAGTATTTATATTCCACCCTTCTCACCCCACAGGGGACTCAGGGCGGATTACAGTGTACATATACGTGGACAACATTCAATGTCATAGATACACAACATATATAGGCAGATACACAGAGGCTATTCAACATTCCAGCTTCATGAGGGCATTCTGGCCACCAGGGGAGCTGTCACTTCACTGTCCATTTGTGACACTGATGGAGTACTTCCTCATTCTTTTACTTGCTTGCTGGAGATTTTATGGCATTGTAATTTAGTTAAATTAACCTCTCCACATAAGTGGTGCCTAAATTTCCTACTTGACAGGCGCAACTGTCTTTCGGGCTGCAAAGGTCGACAGCAAGCTACACAGATGGTCGGAAGCTCACTCTGACCCGGGCTAGCTTCGAACTCATGATCTTTTGGTCAATAGTGATCTTAATGCAGCTGACTCCAGGCCAACTGGGCCACAGTCCTGCCACAGTCGCCATTTGTGCTGTTTTAGAAATGCTGTCACTATAATATTACGTGCCCCGGGCAACCCCGTTTTATGTTATGGCGACAGTGGCAGACCCTGAGAAATCTTCGTAAACAATAAACAATCTGTGTCTCTATTCTGTGCAGATCACATAGACCTCAGATGTTAGATCTTGCACATGCTCACTTTGTCTTTGTTTGTGTAACTCTGAAATTCTATAAAATCCTGATACTCCACCACTGCTGTGACTAGCATGGACCAAAAGCAGTGCTGAGACTTAGTAGATCTCTTTGCCAAAGTTATTGTTTGTTGCCTATTTGCCTTTCTGCTCAGTCTCAGGACTCATCTTAGCTTTGGGTCTCACCTGAAAGGGTACTGTGAAGCCAGTATTTCAGTCTTAATATCAGGATTTTGGAAAGTAATAAGGTGGGACACATGCATTATTTTGTATTGGAGAGAAACCTAGAATTTCATGTCTTTTCTCCTGTCTCTCTCTATGGCTTTCTTTTGAAATATCATCTCAGCGAAAGACTGTTTGTCAACTCAATGTCCTGAAAGCAGAGGAAATGGAGGACCGTGGATACCATTGGCTGTTTGCGTTGCATTGCAGTTTTTCATTATCTTTGCTCTGGGGATGATACTCTGGAGAAGAATCTGCAGGTACGTCCTGAAACTTGTTTGTGTTTTTCTAGTTTCGATTCTCTGCTTAGGTGTTCTGTTTATGTAATTCAAAGGATTCAGAACTCTAGAAATGGAAGATTCTCTGATGGACAAAAACAACATATTACAGAATTTTTAAAGAATGAAGCTATGAAGTGGCATTAAATGTAGTATTGGGAGTAATGATCTTTAAGCTTTTCCCACTCTTTTGAGTGTATCTATGGGCAAATGTGGAGGGCTGGTTGTACATGTAATTATTAAAGAACAGACAAATTGCTGACCCTTACAATTCACAAAGTATGCTGTTCTAGGTCATGGCCTTATTTTGCCTAATGGTATCATGTGCTGTGATTTAGTTCTATATACCACATTTTCCAATATTTTGAGGGATCTGCACATTGCCTCTCTGGCCAGTGGAGGGCATCATACACAACATTTCTGTTGTGCTTTGTATGATGTTTATTTGCTATCTTTTCTTGTAGGGAGAGACATGAAAACCATCTCAAAGGGCTCCAAAAAGGTAGGTAGATAAAATCAGCAGTGCCTGAAAAGTGAGAGTCTAGTCTGTCCTGGGAGAACCTAAAAGAAGCACTAGAGCAACCCCACTTCTGGATTTTTTAATGTCTCGGAAGGGAAATGGCAGTGGCATCCAGGGATGGCTAGACTTCTACTTTCCCTTCTCCATGGAATGACCTCCAGCGTAGCGACAGGTTGTATTAAAATCCATAAGTTTGAGAATAACTTATACATAAATAATAGTGGTAAGTCTTGGGACTGTAACTAGTTCGCCTGAAAAAGGGAGAAACTTTTGACAGCACTATAGAAATAATATTTATTTATTTATTTATTTGAAGCGTTTATATTCTGCCTACCTTTGTGACCGCATCTCCCTCTATGAACCACCTCGGGCCCTCCGATCTTCCAGGGAGGCCCTTCTCTTGCCCCTGCCAGTTTCTCAAGCTCACCAAGTGACTACAAGTGAGAGAGCCTTTTCCGCTGTGGCTCCCCGACTCTGGAACTCACTGCCTGGAGAAATTAGGAAAGCCCTTTCCCTAGAAATGTTTAAGAACCTTAAAACCTGGCTCTTCCACTGTGCCTTTGATGAGTAGGTATATAATCCCACAAAAGGTCGCAACTCCGACATTGCTCTAATATATGGAGGCAATGAGTTCCACAGAATTGGAGCATAGGTCGAAAAAGCTCTATGCTGTGTAGCTTCCAGGTGTACCTCCCTAGGGCCCGGTATGTATAGGAGATTTTCCTGGGTGGATCGAGGTGACCACTGATGGGAAAAAGGAATGAGGCGGTCCCTAAGATATAAAGGTCCTTGGCCATTTTGAGCTCTAAATGTCAGGATCAGTATCTTGTAAGAGATCCAATGTTCTATTGGTAGCCAATGCAGTTGTTGTAGAATCGGTGTAATATGGGATCTTATAGATGATCCCGCTAGTAGCCTGGCCGCCACATTTTGGACCATCCGAATCTTCTGGGTTGTTGACTTTGGAAGGCTGGCATATAAGGCATTGCAATAGTCCAACCTAGTGGTGACTGTTGCGTGGATTACCGTTGCCAATGCTTCTACCGAAAGGTAGGATGCCAATTTCCTTGCCTGGTGAAGATGAAAAAAGGCCTGCTTAGTCTGTAGTCCATCTTGACTACAGTTTGGTGATCCTTGGCCACACACGTCCTAGTTTTCATCTGTAAAATGCTGAATGCATAACATTCCTATTATTTTGATGCAGGCAGTTTTTTTTGTTAGCTGAGGGTGAGGGATGGAAAGGATTATTTAGCTGGAATTGTAAACAAGTGAAAAACAGACGTAGTCATGCTACCCTATCTATTTCTTGCAGATGTTTCTAAGTCAGCATACAAATCACAAGTCTATGAGAATGTCAAGAACAGATCAGAAAAGCTGTGACAAAGGGAAAATTCGGCTTCCTAATGATTCAGTCAATCCTGGACCACACCCAGTAACTTTGAAAACAGCGTTATATTTTTCTTTCCCCAGTTTAAACACTTTTCCCCTGGATCTCATTGTGAATTATTTCCAGTGAGGGGTTCCCACCCTGCCCTACTTTCCTAAAGATCTAGACTAATCTTTCCCACCCTACTGATTTCTGCATGTTTGAACCTACTGCCATTGGAAACTACCTGGACTTGCACCAACCTACAAAATGCAAAAAAAAAAAAAAAAAAGAAGACCTTTCCAAATTCTTAAAATGAAACCAGCCCACTCTTGGGATCCACTTGTGGTTTCGAGAGATGAATGCTCACTGAAAAGAGTGTTGCATTCTTTTCCTGCTAATTTGATGGCTGTGAAAGATCAGAAAAAGCCGAGAGGATCTCTCCTTGCCACCAATTGGGCTGCACATAAGGACTGTTGCTTTGGAGGAAACAGTCTTCGTAAAGCTGATATGAAGGAAATATAATTCTGTAGGATTAGGGATGGCCTTACATGTAGAGTTAATGCGGTTTGCCACTCCTTTAATTGCTATGGCTCAATGCTATAGAATCCTGGGATTAGTAGTGTGGTGAAGCACATGTATTCCTCTACAGAAAAAGCTGAAGACCTCGTCAAATGACAACTCTCATGATTCTGTACCATTAAGCCATGACAGTTAAAATGGTATTGTTTTCGAAATCCTGGTACCCCAAAGAGAACCTCAAAACCCACAGCTATGACAGGGTGTCCATAGCTCCCTCTTTGGAAGCTTTTAAACAGAGGCTGGATGGCCATCTGTCAGGAGTGCTTTGAATGCAATATTCCTGCTTCTTGGCAGGGGTTGGACTGGATGGCCCATGAGGTCTCTTCCAACTCTATGATTCTATGATTCTAAATCCACAAATGATTTTTAGCCTGGACACACAGGTTTTCCATGTACACAGTCACCCGGGGGAACATAGGAAATCCTATCACCCTTCAGACTGCAAGCATAGTCCTACAATAACACCTTTGCCTTCCTAATAATGGAGCCAAGCCAAATGTCACAGAAGTTACTCAACACCCAGACATACCCTCTTTTTTGGGAACCCATTCAAACTATGCTAACACCCTTTCCATCCATTGTTTAACTGATCAAGTCCCATTGTTTTACTCTGGGTGGAGTTATTAACACCCATCAAATCAAACTCAACCCACATTCCTTACCTTCACGCACCCATGAGAGTGGGACCAAGAAACAGCTACAGAACTTCCAACTGAGCAAGGACAATTTATTAAAGTTCCTGACAGACTCAAGAGCAAAACAGTGGCAACAGCACATAGTGCATCTCACCCAACCAACACTGGGATTGTAACTGGCCCCGAGTTGAGCCAATCAGCACTCAGAACAGCAAAAGTACTTTGTTTTGGACTGTTGTCTGTGGCATGTCAGTTTTTGCGAATGCAGACCCGCCAGCATCCACTTTGGCTGAAGTGAATAAAGCCTCTATTCCTTTGCCTTCAACATGTCTGTGTCTCATTCAGTCTTTGGAGCTAGGCACGCTGGGCCATGAATACATAATTTTAGCTGAGACAAAATCACATAATAATACCAAACTGCATTAGTTCTACAGTGTAGATGCATCCTAGATTTACAGTTATGAACAGTGAGGCAGCTGTTTGAGGCGGAAAGTAAATATCGGTACTGGAGGACAGTGTGGGTGATATGCAACCTGCCCACAGGTGGTCCTCAGGTGTTCCATTTTCAAATATAGAATTACTATAGATTTGGAAAACATTCCAAGGGATATTGAGTTCAAACCCATTCTGCCACATAGGAATACACAATCAAAGCATTCCTGGCAGTTGGCCATTCTGCCTCTGCATACAAATGAGGTGGTGTATTCCACTGCTGAAGAGATCTTGCAATTGGGAAGTTCTTCCTAATGTTCAGGTGGAATCTCTTCCTGTAGTCTGAATCAATTGCTCCATGTCCTAATCTCTGGTGCAGCAGAAAACAAGTTTGCGCCCTCCGCAACATGCCATCCTTCCAAAGATATAAACATGGCTATCACGTCCCCTCTCAAACTTCTCCAAACTGGTTCTGACAGTGCTTGCCTTCCAGACCTTTTAACCATTTTGGTTGCTCTTCTTTCAACATGCTCCAGATCTGACCAAAGCAGAATATATTGTTACTATTACTTCACTTGTTTTAGACATTGTTATCCCAATATGGAATATGTTGTTTCACTGCCACTGTTGCAGAAAAATGCAGCAATCCTCCTGGTTGTCTACATGTGGATGGAATAGGAGGAACTAGAACTCATGACTAGTTCCTCTTATGAGTAGAGCTGTTGTGTAAATGTATCTAGGACTGAAATGTTGGCCACCCTTGGGTGTGGATCACTTCTTTCTAATGAAATGTTCTCCATTTACAGAGTTATTTTTTAGATTTGTATCTGGGTCCAAATGTGCAGTAACACTTGGTAACTTATTAATCTGCGTGTGACTTTTTGTGTAATTGTAGCATGTCACCATCGTGAAATATATTCCTTTGAAACTAGGCCCATCATTTAGAAGCACCCTGTATATGACTGGATTTATTACTGTGTTTTTTCAAGGTTTTATAGAGACTGCCAAATGGAGAAAGTGAATCATGGCATTGTGGAAATGATTTCTTTTAGAAACTTCTCCCTCAGCCTTTTCTGCTTCAGTGAAAACCATCCCGTCCCCTCCCTGAAATTATTTTTCATATGTGGGAAAGCGTATGACTTTGGTAACCTTTGTGATTTACCTTCAAAGGGGAACATGCTTTTAAGCAGGCAACGGTGTTTAAGCAGGCTTTTAACATTTAAGCAGGGAGCCTTAGACTGGATGTTTTATTTATCTTTTGCTTGCTTATAAAATGATTTAAATAAAATGGTTTGAGTTGTGTATACATCATATTGGGAATGTATTTAAATTTACTGACCATTGCACAATTGGTGAAAGGCTGCATACAACTGAAGAGAGGGAGATAGAGAAAGAACAAGGAAGGAAAGGGGTGACACTGGTCACTCCAAAGAGGCTTGAACAGAATTGCGTCAAGGGCTGCATGAGATCAGGTTGAGGGCCAGATGTATCCATAAGGCCAGAAATATTGGCAAGTCCACAATCTATTAGAAATTCCCATGCACCATAGCCTTATTGCAAAGGTAAACATGATGTCACCTCTGTTTGGCAAATGTGAATCTCTATGAACATAGAGACCACCTGAAAACCACTACTCAAAAGTCAAAACTAAAGACAAATGATATTCATAAAACACTAATGTAATAGCTCACAGATAGCTCAGCTGTTAAACTGAGAAACCATGCCTTTAAACAACCAAGGATAAAGGCAGGCCACTACAAAAATACGATGGTTGAATTAAAAGTAATGCCTCTGCCTTCATTACTTGGGTTTGGATAGGAATATTTTAATAAATCAAATGCAGAAATAATCCTTAGAATGTGCTCTTTAACTCCCACTATTCACTTTTCCACATAATCACCAGACAATTGGATACATTCCTGCCAACAATGAAAAAGTTTTCTGAAGCCGTCACGGAAGAAGTCAGCACTCTGTTTCTGCAATCAGCGTGCATAGATCTTCTGATAGCCAAGCAAAGCAATAATGTGACCCACACATTCTTGTGAAATGCCGATTATGCTTGAAATTTCTCTCTGAGTGATACGATGATCATCCTGAATTGTGTGACATCTAGTCCCATTCCACACAGGTGTCTCGGGCTTTTTGGGCTCCTGGAGCCCAAAAACCCCAAAACAACCCCAAATCCCTCCCCCAAAACCCTTCAAAAGGCCTTAAAATCAAATAACTTACCTGGGTGCCATTCCCCCCAGTAGAAATGACACACCTCTAGTAGAAATGATAGTTCATCTCCCCCATCTCCTGGTTCATCGTTTCTGTGCACTAGGAGAGCTCCGAGAAGGGGGACTGGTGACAGGTAAGTTATTTTTGAGTTCTAAGGTTTTCTGGGGTGTTTGTTTTGTGTCCAGGTACTTTGCTAGAAAGTCCAGCAGGACATCTGAACACCCCCTCCCCCGAGGAAAGCGCGGATGTTCGCGGGTGGTGTGTGGACTTTAACCTGGGCGCAATCAGGTTTATTAAACCCAATTGCACCCAGGTTAAAGTCAGGTGTGGAACTGCCCTCAGTTAACTGGATCTCCAGGAACTTGAACTATTAAGCAATTAATAAAAGTTTTAGCTAAAATTGCATACCGCGTCCACAAAGCTGTTTTTTATAACACAGTAAAATTGTGTGGCATTAAGAAAAATTTGTCTTTATTTGCTTTTAATTATTGCATTTTGTGAATGTTGAGTCAAGGCAGAATATGGGGTTTAGTATTAGTTAGGTCTATTTTTCATAGTAACTCTTAAGCAACCAGAAATTACATTTACCTGGCATTTACCAGTCCCCATGGGTGCTTGTTAACTCAGAGTCTACTGTATATAAAATGTTTGTGATGTATTTTGTTTTGATGTCTACCTTGTGCATATAACTTCCTCAATATAAACATTTTACATATTTATAAACTGGACTGCAAAATTCAGGAAAGTGCAAATATTTTTTTATATCTTTGTTTTGCACTGGAAAACTCAAGAGAGTTGAAATGTTTTTCTATAACTGCTCTGACTCATTTATTTATTCAGTACTGTGAACTGAATAAGCCCATGGGTTATCCTTTCATCATTCAATTGTCCTCTTTATTATGAAGGGTTTTTTTTTTTAAATTCAGGTAGGCCATTTGATAGAAAACTGGGTGGCTGTCAAAGAAACATTTAATCTGGATTCCTATTATAATTTGCCTTGAAGGAGATTCAAATTATAGTCAACACTCCATATTTGCTGGTTAGGGATTCAGGACCACCTGTGAAAATGGAAAAACATGACATGTCTAAGTTCACCAGCACAACATTATAGTCAGCGTTCTCTGGTATGGAGCCCCTGGTAGCACAGTGGGTTAAACCTCTGTGCCGGCAGGACTGAAGACCGACAGGTCGCAGGTTCAAATCCGGGGAGAGGCAGATGAGCTCCCTCTATCAGCTCCAGCTCCTCATGCGGGGACATGAGAGAAGCCTCCCACAAGGATGATAAAAACATCAAATCATCCGGGCGTCCCCTGGGCAACGTCCTTGCAGACGGCCAATTCTCTCACACCAGAAGTTAACTTGCAGTTTCTCAAGTCGCTCTTGACACATATAAATAAATAAAACTTTCTCTGGTCATGTTTTGT